GAGCGTCGTCAAGTAGTATGCAATGCGCATGCGCGTCTATCTAAGAACGCCGTCTTCTCTGGAACGTTCACCAATCACAACAATGGCGGATGCAATTCGGTCAGTTCACTGAAACGCACGATTAACCCGTTGTAAAGCTAAACCGCGTCGTGGACCGTTCCCATTTTATAATCGCATCTTCCTTGCGACTTAACACATCTGCCGATACCGTTCATAGAAAAATTACTTCGGTTTTTCTTAAGATATACCGCAGACAAACGCACAAAAGCAATATCGGCCGACATGTAAGATTTTCGTTCGGAGCCACTTTAAGGGGCCAAGCGGGGTCGCCGATAGGCTGCGTGTGACGTGGTTGCGTTTATTGACCATAACCCCTTCCTACTCCCGTCTGCAACTTCACGACGGACAGGTGTACGACCTGAGAGACCGCAAAACAATTGACCAAACCGACCGCGTCTTAAAATATACGACATTGTCAAAGAACCACAAAGATGTTTGGAATGTTCGTCTGTCTTATCGTGTCTGTTAATGGTGATGCTACTTTTCCTTTCTGTCAGTAATATGAATGTTTTCTTGGAAATTTTCAACTCACGGTAGTCCTTTTTGACACTTTAAAAAACCGGTTTCTTCAAGAAATGAGAAAATTTTGACGAACTTTCTTCAGTTCTTTCGGACGAAAAGGTGAGATTTAGTGTGAACTCGTGTAGAAAATATATTTTCAATGAAATTTCATATGAAAGAGATCGAAGTATTTTATGATAATTCACGATAATAATAAAACCATAATAATGAAACGATAACAATGATCCTTTGAAATCATTAATATTTGAAAATTATTGTTTTCGTATCCGTCAATATGAATTTAGGTAAATTAATTAAATAACGTGTTTGATTAAAAAGAAGTTATTTTATTAAATTTAGTAAGGGGAATTTAATATTTTTATATTTACAGTACTCATTAGTTATAAACTTTTACTTATTATATATATGAAGTATTATTGTTACTATATCGACGAAAGTTTTTTATTATTAATTTTTATACATTGTATAGTCCTTATGCTCTCTTTTTGTGGGAAACTTAACTCTCTTCTTGTATTTTTTCATTTGTTAATAGAAGAGAAATTTATAAATATAAGATTTATAATTGTTGTAATTATTAAAACAAGAGAGAATATTCTTATGTAATCTATTTATTTATTTAAATAAAATACTTATATATTTTAATAAAATTGTAAAAATAAGTCATGTTAAAAATATTATGTAAATAATATTGGTAACTATTTTCGTGAATTCATTTCTGCCTCCATTAAGCATTCTTTTATCAGTATTCTAGCTTTTATAATACCTATCTTTAACCTTTCTGCAGAAATTTTACTGCCAGCATATGTTAGTTTAATGTCTTTTCCTAATTCTTCAATGACTGTTAATAGTTGAGAGTATTTATTTTCTTTACATATCGAATGTGTAACAATTGATGAATTTTGCATAGGAAAATGTGTTTGAAATTTCTTTACTTTTGTTACAGAAATAATGGAGTCAATAGTTCTAAATGTAATATTTCTTCTATTCAATTCTATTTCAAGTTTTTTCATTTCATCTAAAGCTTTCTTTTTTCTAGCTCTGAATCGTGCCATTCTTTGCGCATTATGAAATCTTCGAATAATAGCTTCTTCTTCTGTCTCATGAGGCTTTATTAATGGTCTATGTACATTCTTATTCTTTTGTTGCATTGATCTAGGCTGTTTATTCTTTTTTAAAGTATTCTTGTTTCGATTCCACTTGTAATTATTCATTTTATATCACAACGTTTTCTTTAAATAATAATATATTTTTATTTAACTTGTGTAGCATATGTTTTATAGAAAACAAATATTTAAATTTACCTCTTTTTTTTCGATATTCACGCATGCGCAGGATATACATCACCAGGTACTAATCATTAGAATGGCGAATTGTCGTAGATAATGCTGTTAAACTTTTGAATCGTATTAATATTTACATTGAATTTCAATATTTCTCACTTATTTAACACTCTCAAATATTTACAATTACTACGAACACTAAAGAACGCGGAAAAATTGTTACAATTGTATTTAATATCCGACTGAGTAAATTTTTTATTAGTATGGTCTTAGAAAAAAATTGGGAAGACTTGTTTTATTGAAGATTAGAAACAGGTAGATCTCTTTTACTTTGTATGTATTATTATCTCAAGGTGATTCATTCCCGAAATAGGAACTTGTAATTAATTGGCAGTAATTCTTATATCTTTGATTCTTATAGGTATTGGTATCATTTACACGGGAATTGCGTTTTGCAAATGCTCATTTATTAAAAAGTTTTATTTAAAATAATTTATTGTAATATGGGAGTAAGCAAGAAACATAATTATTTCTTTTGTATTGTTAAGATGTTAGTACATAAATTGTAGTAAAAAGTACCAAGCACATGCATAATTAATTTAAAATCTATTGTGATTGTATAAAGTGTAACTGTTTCAGATGAATAAAGGTATTCTTTAAATAGTTTATATTTTTCTGAATATTATGTAAATGTAAATTGTTTTTAGATAAATATTAATAAGAAAACCAACACGAAATACATGCTGTATCATTCTCTACAAAATATTTCTTTCTGTTGCAGGCTATGCATAAAAATTTTGAATATTCTGTCATGTAAGTTATAATCTTCAAAGGTGATTATAAGAAAGGATATCTATTCCAATGTATATTTCATTATATGAGTATTATTTTCTTTTATTATTAATAATTCTTCCAGTGTTCTTGTTTTTTAAATTATGGTCATGGCTGGGCTGGCAATTATTCATTAATAATTAATATTTTGTGCATTTCATTTATAGTTGAATTTTTTCTTTACTTTTTGTAATACTATATAATAAATAATAATAAATTTTTTTGCTAAGAAGTATGATACAAAAATCTTTTCACATATATGTATGTTTTACATATGAAAACAATATTTATAAATATAGAAATATTTTTTAATACATGAAATTTGTATATAAAAAGAAATAAATATTAAATTTTATTAGTAATTAAAAGTTCATCTAATCCCATTCTTCCTCTATGTTTCCATATCCTAAATCTGGCAACATCTTTTCTTGTAATAATTCCAATTACCTAAACAAAAATTTAAAGTCACAGTATTTTTCATGACGCTTTGTAAAATACAACATTTTATAAAAGACATTAATATATTAGTACCTCATTCATATCATTGATTACTGGTAAATGCCGAAGGCCTAAAGCTCTAAATAGTCTAAATGTTCGTGGCAATGTTGCAGACTGAAAAAGAAGTGATAGATCAGGAAACACATTTATAGAGTACAAACCTGTAGATAAAATAACAACAAAATACTAACATGCTGTAATGTATAAGGAGAAGGATTCATGAAAGGCCTTAAATCTATCATGTAAGTTTTTTCTTCCTCAGTTATGGTTACTTGATCAATTGTTGGATATCTGGGATATTCTTTTCTGAACATTTTAATATTCAAGGTCTTCTCCCAATATTCTGCATATTCATTAAAAATTTTATTTTGTAGTAATACTATTAATTGTGAACGTAAGATTATTCCTCGAAGTCGTCCATATGAATGTATCTCGGTCTACAATAAAAAGAATTGATATATATTTGAAACAAAATGATAAAGTTTTTAGATGAAGGAACCTAATAGTAGTATTTATTACCTCATCACTATTAGGAGAATCAACTACAGGAAACCCATTAAACGTTACACATTTAAGAAGTTCTACTATATGTCCTACATTTTCTACAGATTTTAGCGTTACTATTGGGTGACTCATTATTTCACTGGCATATATGTTGTTTGACAATGGCGGGGCTTCCCATGGTAATATGGGAATTCCAGCCATTTGTATATGGATATCATAAATTCCCTGTTAAATAAAATACAATAAAAATTATTGTAATAATGTAAATATATCTTAAAACGTAAAAATATAGATTGATATATCTTCATGCCTCATTAAAAAAGTCTCCAACCCATTTAGCCATAATAAGAACTATTATAACTGGCAAGCCAAAGGATATTCCTTGAGTAGCTTCTATGAGTATAGCAGTTAAACTTATTGTCATTCTAACCACCCCACCTAATTGAGCAGCTGCACCTAATAAAGCATATTTTCCAGGGGATAAAACAACCTGCAATAATTAATGGTAACTCATATTTTCTATGATATTCTTATTTTATCTCTATGATCTTTTCTTACACAATCTGGAAAAAGTTTTGAAAGACCTGATCCAATTAATCTACCCCATGCAGAACCTATTAATAGAGATGGAATGAAAAGTCCACTAGACATGGACAGACCAAAAGTAGCAACAGCCAAGAAAAAATAGAGGATAACAAAAATAATTAAAGTTATATCATTATATGAACCTATAAACGAAAAATTTATTAAATAATTATATCATTCTATGTCTTTTCTTATGTATATTAGCAGCATACCTTTGGGATCATGAAACAGAGATCGTACACTACTTTCTGGTGTTCGAAACCATAAAGCTGCAACTGCACTATATTCTCCTTCTTTACAGTACATTTGAATAGGAAACATGGAGGAATCCTCACTTAATGGCCTACAATCACTCAGAAAATAAATCATTGTAAATCCCATTGTTGCACTTAGTGCAGCAACTATAAGTACTTCTATTACTTTCAACCACTTTTTTTTTATATATTTCAAACGGAAACAAGTGATTTTATAATTTAGATAATTCCAACAAGCACCCAAAAGCCCACCAATTGCTCCCATTAACATGAATAGAGGGATTTCATAAACTTGATAAAGGATTGTTTCAAATTTTCCAAGATTTAATAAGCCTGGATAAGAAAGATCACCGGGTCGTCCGTGATATGTACTAAGGATGATGTTTAGAGTGAATGTTGTAATCATACTGGCAAAAAATGTTCTCCATGTGAGACTCTGATTAAAAAAACTAGCTCCTTCTTCAATACTGAATAATACACCTCCTAAGTATTGTTAATCAAACAGTTAATATTATTATTACATATAATATTTTGCTGCACTCACCAATTGGTGCACCAAATGCAGCAGACACACCAGAAGCTGCACCTCCTGATACGAAATCTCGTTTTTTTCCTGCTGCTATCACAGCCCCAGAATGTATCATAGGTCCTTCCTAAAATTATACTTTATGCTATATTGAAACAATTTTTTTTGTGAATGTAGCAAGTAATAGAATAGTTAATAATGAAAGTATTTACTTTCCCACCAGCTAGACCTCCCACTACTGTACAAATTACACCTATTGTTTTTACTGCTAATGTTTTAATACGAACAACTCGAGGTATTTTAATTCCATTTAAATAACATTTCACCTGTGGAATACCACTACCAGCTGCAACAGGTTCTACATAGGATACTAAAATAGCACCTATTAAAACAGGTAAAAAATTTAGGCTTAACCATAATAAATATGGCAGCCATAAACAATTCGATACCACACAATGGTTTACATCTATTATTAATTTTAAGGAATAATTAAATTTATATGTAGTTTTCTTATACTTGTATATTATAATAAAGAAGGATACAATATTGGAGACATCTATACTTTATATTAGTTAATTGTTCTATAGAAATATCTATAAAACTAGCTGTAAGTGCTGTGCAAATACCTATTAATAAGAAAATAAACCATCTGGCAAAATTTTTTTTAACTACAAACTTGTAGCCTTTTTTTCTTTCTTCATCTTGAAGAAGATGATTCTCACAGGGATCATAATCTAAACTCTGAAGAAAAAAATAAAAGTACAGATATATACGACACTTGCTTGAAACATAATTAGTTTCGAGATAAGATATTTATACTAATCAATGCAAAAAGTTCTCTAAAAGTACAGTGATACATAAGTATTAATAAATAAATACAATAAGTAAAATAATGTATTCGTAAAAAAACAAATTACCTCATAATTAGTTGATAAGAAATTAGTAGCACCAGGAAATATTTCTCCAGTATTAGTTCTTCTTGGATTATTGGAAACTGTTTCCATAATATTTTGTGATGAGAGATAGCCATGGTTAGAAGTGACACTCTATTAAAAACGAAAAAGTAAAATATTTAAAATAATTGAAAAATTATAATCTTGTACAACATTTTACTTTCTTCTCTCTCATTTTTTATTATTTATAAACATTATAAAAAGAAAGTATTTTGAAAAGTAGTCAGATGTCAAATAGGTTATTCTATTGTGTCAAAAGAAATGTAAAATAAAGATTTTAAAACACACATTGTTATTGAATCAGTACGTTTTTCTTACTCGAAATCTAACATTGACATCTCTGTTAGAGTATGAAGCAAAATTGTTTCGTGGTTTCAGCAACTTTTCCTCATCATCTTCATCGTCTACGCAATTGTCAACAATGTCATTAACAGTACTATTAATCATTACATTAATGTGCGTCGGAGTATCCATCATTTTTTTACCACTGTCACTGCAATCATATTTATTGGATTACAAACGAAAAATCCAAACATCATCTACGCACAGAACTTTACGCTCTATGTAACTCACCGTTACCATATACTGAACTCACACATGCAAATAAAATCTACCATTGGCAATCACGTGATTAATTCTATGATTCATGTTCAATGAAAGTGGTGCTCAACTCATAAAACATCTTCATTATCCTAATTATTTAAACAAAGTTTATCTTTCGAATTCGTCTATGTGATGACAGAGGCTACATTAATACGTCTATCAAACGTAGTATTATAAAATTCCCTTACTCTCTTATATACTTCGTGCGATTTCAAAGGAAGGATTATAGAAATCAGGCAATTGAAAATATCAAATTAAGCGATTTCGGAAGTTACCGTGACAATGAAATGCGCAAGTGTTACTTAATTTTAAACGTTGTAGCGTTGAAGTTAACACCAAAGAAATCAAAACTAAAGGAAAATGCAGTCTTTAAGATAAAGACTGATAAAAATAAAAAAAATAAAATAAAGTTAAGACAAAAATAAAGTTTGATTGTATAAATAAAAAGAATTGTAGCGTAATACGTTACAAATTCCTGGTTTTAAATTCAACGATAAAAAATTGAGATAAGTTCCTCTTCCTTTTATTTTTTTTTTAATTACGTATTTCATAAATATTTCTTTTCGATCGCTATGTATTATATAATTAATATAATTAACGCTATTCGACGTATTATGTAAATGATATTCTGATAATCGAAATACTTCTTTTTAATGTGATATTCCGTTTCAATTAACGAGAATGTCAGTGGACTCCGATTACATTATCTGAAACGGTAATTACATAACCTTTCCATTCAATAAAAATATGGCTATGTAAGTTATACAAAAGTAATTCTCTTTTAATATTCGCTATTATTTTTACTCCATTTTCCAAATATTTATAATTAACGCAAATGATTTTTTTATTAAGATGAAATTAATAGTCAAATTTTTATTTATTATTTATCCCCTTATGTTCGACTTCGTATTAAATTCGGAAAAAAATATGATAATTTTTTTAACAATATACTTTCGCATACTTCTGTACAAATTTACAGAAATTTACAATACAAGAAAATCACTGAATAATATTTAAAAATTACATGTCATTGTTACTATGTATTATAAGTTTTATTTTACATGCTTATGAGTGTATATACTTTTATCGCTATACCATGTCAGTAAGCAAATCTATTTATAAGTCATCAGTTCCGTATTCAATAAAACGAGAAATTACAATGAATTACATTTTTCTCGGTAATTACAGAAAGATTCATTTATACAATATTAGACATATCGCGTAACTCGACATGAGTCTTATCAGGTATCCTAGATTTTTCCAGTTAAACTTTGCCAGTATATCCTGACTTTATTTCAAAGAAAAGACAGAATTTTTAATATTTCTGAGCTCTAACATTTCTAACTTCCAGATACAATGTGAAAAGCGTGTGTAACGTTTCCAATCTCGTATCCTCTTCCG